TGAGGATGTCGGCCAACGAAAGGAAGTGTTCCACAGGACCGAGCGCGGCCTCCACCGGCGCGTAAGCCTGGGCCATAACAACCTCCAACACTCCCGCCCGCCAACTCGCCTTTGAGCAGCCCCTGCGCCTGCGCAGCGTTCCCAGGCGCCTGCCGGCTTTCCATTGGCCGGGAAGGGCGGGGGCGGGCTCCTCGGCGAGGCCTGCGGCCCTCATCCGGTTCCGTTTCGCTTTGGGAAGCGTGAAGGTTTCCTGGCACGGGATTGGCGGCGCCTCGGAGTCCCCCGCGCGGGAGGAAGAGGCTCCCGGCTCTGCGGCGCCTAGTTCTGGCTAGGAAGCCCAGTCGGTTCCTCCTTCCAGCCTCGCTCCCGTATCCGGCTGCATCCCCTCAGATCCTGGCTGAAGCCCCGCTAGGTCGGTCTCGATTCGGCTCGCCGCGGCCTCCCTTTTCCCGCGTCAGACGGCCTCGCCTTCCGGTGGAAGATCTGGGACCGGGATCATCTCCCAACAGGAGGACCGTTTCACGTGGGAGGCTCTTCGGATTACTTGTCAGGGCCACACTTGTACAGCTTGCGATGTGGTAGTCGTACCTGTTTCCCGTCCAATAAAAGGGAGAGAGAAACATCATCCGTTGTTAGAAATCGGAATTGCTCCTCTGAGTAGGAGGTTATCATTTCTCTCCTAGGTGATCAAGCAGCTATTTCTAATCTAAAAATTTGGATTGCTAATTTTTTACAAACAGCCATGGCTTGCAGAAATCACCTGGAGCTTCCCTTACACTAATAATTGCTTCAGGCTTTTCTGTAAAAGTTGTGTTTTATTTTTTTAACATTCTATCTTTTTGATAGTAGATATGTTGTTATGTCATCTCTGAAATATTGGTCTTGGACAATAAATAAATAAAAACTCTCATCCAACTTAGATTAGAGCGCTGTAATATCCTACTCATGGCTTCCTTTCAGCTTGCCACAAAGCTGTTGATATACACATTGGTTACAATTACTCAGCTAACTGTGTATCCATCTAATGGTGGTATAGACCAGCCTACATTTTGACATCTTTTCTACTGTAATCAGAAGCTGTCAAATGCTTCACTGAAGTCAAAGTATCATAGTAGAAACCTCACCAAGGAAAATAAACAATTAGAGAGGAGCCACAATCATTTTATATGAAGTCCAAGGCTAAAGTGAGTCGTGCACTTTGCAGCCCGGATGAAGAATGCAGTGCAAAAGTTCACAGGGCGCTTCTAAAGAAATTCAACACAATATATAAGAAGGACATGCACATAATTTCTAGAAACAGAAGGATCGTTTTGGAAGGAACTGAAAAGGAAGAGAAATAAGGGAGTGAAATCTCAGTGTATATTCACTTCCTGAGCAGAACTTTAGTCCCTTTCTGCATACTGAAACAGTTTTATAAAATTCCATATACAGATAGTCCTTGACTTACGACCACTCATTCAGCGGCCGTTCAAAGTTATGATGGCACTGAACGAGGGGGACTTAACTATTGGTCCACGAAGTTGTGGCTGTTGCAGCGTCTCCAGGCCATGCGAACACAATTTGGGTGCTAGGCAACCAGCTCACACTTAAAATGGTTGTAGTGTCCTCTGGTCACATGATTGCCATTTGTGACCTTCCCTGCCAGCTTCCCACAAACAAAATCAATGGGGAAGCCGGCAGGAGCTTGCAAGTTGCTCCTGCTCCCGCTGCTTTTTCTCTGGAGGAGTCCCTGGGTTGCAGGGCGAGTGTGGGCCCCAGGCAGGTGGGTTGCAACCTACCCAGCCACACTTGTGCTGCAGCACCCACTTCCTACCCGCCCACACTCCATAGTACCCGCCTACTTGCAAGCTGCCTAAGGAAAGGCTTGTTGTGACCAGGATTTGCAACTTCCTGCCAGCTTCTCCATTGACTTTGCTTGTGGGAAGCCGACAGGAAGTCGTAAGTCACAGTCGTGAGGTCCTTGCTTAATGACAGCAATGGGGACTGCTGGGATTGCTGTCATTAAGCAATGTGGCCACGTGACATCATGCTGCACGACCACATCACTTAGTGATGGAAATTCCGGTCCCAATTGCCATCGTAACCCGAGGACTACCTGTACTTAAATGTCTTCATTTTGGTCAATGACCAGTGTAAAACAGCCAAAAACAAAAGTAATAAGGGAATAGGGCAAGCAGTCAAAAACAGCATACTCTGTCCATGTGAATTTCCTAATGGCTGTCGTGCTTCTTTGTGCCAGTGAACTGACATAATCGATATGGGCCCTGCAAGGTAATTTTAGTTGGGGTGATCTCAATGCGTGAACAGGCACAGTTCATCAAACCTTGCATGCCCGTTTCCACACGGAAGGGTCCAAGATGGAAAATCTGGGAATTGGCAAGAGGCAGTTTCATCCTGTGCAGCACCTGAGGTCGGGGAGGTTGCCTGAAAGTTTCGTTTAGCTGAGCCTGACTTGGGAGCCATTTAATTCTGCAGAGATTTACCTGCTGATACTGGCTGTGTAGAAGCTGACTCAGAGAGTTTCAAACTGGTCTCCTGGTGACCCCAGCAGCTACAGTTTAAGCTGCTCAGGAATACGCAAAGCACCACCTGGTTTGGCTATTAAAAGAGAATTATGTTTTTGTGATTTGTAACAGCTTAGGCCAGAGCTAGCTGTCTCTGCTGCCATAAAAGTTTCCGCCTGAGCCAGCCTTGGAGGTTTTATTACCCTGGGACCGTGGGTTGCTTTCCAAAGAGGTTTTCCTTTCTGGGCGTCACTTACAAGCTGCAAAGAATGGAGGGAGCTTCTTGGACTGGTTTTGGGCAAACACTTCAAAGTTGTTATTTAACAAATTCAAGTTCTTGTCAACTGAAATGACAGCTTGGGCCACTGGACATGGCTTGGCCACAAAGCTTACTGCCCTGCCATAGCTGCTTCTTGTGCTCCTGTGGGCTGGGAGGTCAGATGGAGAGGCTGGGTGAGTTAGAACATTCAAATAAATCCTTTTCTAGAGAAGCCAAAAGCTCTAATAATTGTTCTTTTTTCTATTTCTGATTAAAAATCCCATTCAAGCACCTGAGATCTCTTGGAGGTGAGAATAGGAGTCTGGCCAGAGTAAGTCCATTGATGTTTTCTTAGCTTAGAGAAATTTCTCAATCTTCAGCTGGTTAGCAGATTTGGAGGAAGGCTGCAAACCAGGACGGGCTCTGTGGCATTTCTTCCCTGTTCCCGTGTTGTTTTGTGATCATGCTGATCTCATGTACAGGAACGACATACAAGAAATAAAAGGTAAAGGCAAAAGAAAAGAAGCATAGAAAGTGAAAATCATTGGGGAGCTTGGGTTCAGAGCTACTCACCCATTGCCATCTTAAGCTCCTGACCAGTTTAGTCCCTCTATTTTGAAATGCAAGCATGTACTAGGTCATATGTCACATTATGGCTATCTTCTCAAATATGCTAAAAATGAGGCATTGGGGAACCTGTGCTGCTCTTTCATGTGGACTGAACAAACTATGATGATCTGGAAATCTTGAGTTTTCAAAGTCCCAAAGAAGCTTGACAGTTATGCCTGAAAAGGCAGAAGAAACTTGTGAAAGGTTTACCCCGTTCGACTCAAACTCTCGTGACACGTGTGTTTAGCAAAGAAGTTTACTCAAGTGAAACGTAGGTAAGTACAGACAAAGCCAGGGTTGGCTTGGCACACTTTACATCGTAATTTATAGCTCCTCCGTTCCCGCGCTTAACCCCATTGCTTGGTTACAGATTACCCGCAGTAATCCCCCCCTCGCTCAAATGGCAGATTCAGTCCGGTTCTTTTGTGTTCTTGATTGCTTTCTATCGGTGGCGTGGTTGTTGTCTTTGTTAGGTTTTCCTGTTACGCGCATAGCCGGGTGTTCTTAATCATGCGCTGATTGCTGCGCTCCGCTTTGTTTGTAGCGCCCGAGGCAAGCTGGCGCTGATACAAAGTATCCGCTTGCGGTTCGAGTCAAGCGGCGACACCTGGTTGTAATCAGTTCGCGGTTTCTCACTTCCCCTTTTTCCTGGCTAGCGGCTGAGCAATGCTTTAGTCATGCCGTGCCACGTCGGGTGAATCTGACAACTTGAGGATGAAAGACAATTCTTATTATATAATTCTGTAAGCACTGTAGCTGCGCAAGACATTTTGCTTTGTAATTCCTTGTGGGGTGGTGGTGGCAGAAATCCAGGAATTTTAATATCATAACTGGAGAAGCTAATTACAGTCTTTAAAAATTGTGAATGTATGTAGTAATTCTGTGTGTGAAAGCAATTTATTTCTAATATGGAAATAATATTGCTGGTGGAGGCACCCTGTATATGTGTAAACATTATATTGGCATGCATATATTGACTAGTTTGTTTCCTGCATAGGCTTCGCATTTATGGCTTACTTCTTCCGAGAGTACATTAGGCCCACCTTGGCCGAGTTGTTTTGCCAACAGATGTCCGGGTAGTTCATCTCTTTCTCCCAGCTGTGTTAGTACAATTCTCCAATCTTTGAGTTTGCAGAAAAGTATGCCAGCCAAATTTGGATTGTCCTCTTAGCTAAACTTTAATCTGCTCAGTAATAGGGTCAGTGACTTGTCCCTTCCTTATAGTTTTTTTCCAGATTAATTCAAGGTCAGTAGACTTGTTTGCTGTGTTTCTCCTCCCAGCCAGTATCAGCAGCTGGCAGGAAAACCATCCCAATTGCTCTTCTTAAAGTGGACAGGGCAAGTTGAGGCAAGTGTGGGTCGGCTCCTGGGATGGAGGTTTTAGACACTTCAAGTTGCCCAAGGTGCTGTTCACCAGTGTGATGCTCTATGCCGGTCAACTTAGTCAGTAAACATGGGCAAGCTGAGCTGCTGGAAGACCAGTTTCCACGTGCCCAAAGCTAGCCCATCCAATAGGTCAGCAGAGCAGAGAAGGGGTGCAGGATGAGGCAGAAGGTTGCTCACACCATGCACTGAGAGCTTCTCCCTCCCTCCTAGCCCGTCCCCACCCCACCAACCTATCGGCTAGGTTGTTTTTGCACAGAGCTTTATTAGTCTTCCAGAAGGCTGGTTGAGCAGTCTTCCTGCTCTTTGGGCCAGAAGTGGAAACTGGCAGAACTCTTGTCATTTTTCACCCCAGCTCCCAAGTACCCAAACTGATTAGTGCTGCAAGAGAATGCCACTGCTGGCAGCTAGTGGCTGCCGTGAGTGGCATCCCATGGGGCGTACCAAAAGGCATTTGTGTAGGCAAAATGCATCTGCCTTCCCAAGTAATAAAAACCATAAGAAGGACAGCCACAGAAGCCCCCTTGTTAGCAGAAGCAGCATAAACCAGTAATGCACTAATTTCAGACAGAAACAGTGACACAACTCTTTCACAAACTGATTAGCAGCCCCCCCCTTTTTTTTACAGACAAGTCCATCCATTCTTTAAAAGATGACTGAAAATGTTTAATGAAGGTTTGGTGGTTTTCTAGACAAGAGGTGCACTCGTGTATATAAGGAAATTATATGATACCTGTGAAGGGCGGGTCAGGCCTTACATGGGCAAGTGCTCAATATTCAGTCTCTCCTGCAACCCAAGGCAAAACGGTGACATAGGGCAGTAATCGGGGGAAGAGGGTGTGCCAACAGCCCAAAGGGAGTTTGGCAGTACCAACCCCTGACCGCATCATCACCAGGATTATTAATGAGGTGTTATGGTTGAGAGGTATTTAAGCTGCCTCTGTGGTCGGTTGGGGTGACACAGGGGCTGCACAGAGACTTTGGACTGGGCAGCCATAATAAGTTTAATAAATACATAAATAAAAGAATCATGAGGATGTGTCATCTAAAGATGGTTGGGGTCTTTGTGCTGGGATTAGCAAAATGTGTCCATGAGCCCTATGTTTCTCTTCCCTTATTCTGTAGTCTGATCCAAGAAGGAATAATCCAAATCTACTTGGTTTAGCAGTCTCTAACAACCAGCTCACGAGAATATCTTTCTTGCTTCCTCTCCCTTGTATCCTTATCCAAACATTCTCAACTAACCCTCATGCTCAAATTCCTGGATCTTAATATATGTGTGTATTATTCAAAGAACTTTGGGTTTTGATTTGGTAAGGATGTATGATAGAAAAATACTCCCTTGTTAAATGATGTGTATTAACCAAAAACTGAAACAGGGAACTGTCCATTTCGGAATTCACAGACTTCAGATAACTCTGAAAGTTTATTTAAAATGATAGGCTCACTTAACATAATTGGTGAAAACCTGGATATATTAACACAGCTCTAGTGCAAGTGGAGACTATGTCCCTACTGATGCTCCTGGACCTCTGGGTGGCTCCTGAAATCCCTGATCATGGTATGGCCTTGGACCAGCTGAGAGAGTGGGGAGTTGGAGGCATGGCCTTGTTGTGGTTCTGCTCCTACTCTGAGAGCAGGCATCAAATGGTAGTTCCCCCTAGTTACTCCCCCAAGTCTCCTTCCCAACCCATGGAAGCCACATGCGAACAGAGGATTAATTAGATCCTCTAACAGGTCAAATTTAGGGAGCATTACGTTCAGCTCTAGATCCCAGTTCACCTTGTCTTCATATTAACTTCCAAATAATATTTTGCTGTTCTCTGTGTTTTGTCTTATTTCTCAACTAATATAAATATGAAACATTTATATTTTAACCCATAACCAATTTATGAGTCTCATAAGCTGAACTTCTCATAAAGTTATGAGTTTTTTAAACCTCAAAGCTTGTTCTTTATTAATTCTTCAAGAAGCATTCTTTAGTTTTAAGACTTTGTTCATCTCTGGGAGCATAGAAATAATCTCTTCCTTGTGGTTGAAATACAATTAATTTGAAAGGGAACCCCATTTATATCTTATTTCTCTTTTTAGAAGTTCTTCTGTTGAAGGCTTAAAGGCTTGTCTTCTTTCCAGCGTGGGAGGACTAATATCTTTTTCACCTCTTGTAGTCTCTGAGCTTTTTGCAGAAAATATTCTTTTACCCATTTACAAATCTTATTAGTTATATCTTAGGTTCTGCATTTGATTGGACTTAGAAGAGACCACCTATGAGCATGTTCCATGTCATCATCTGAAATCTTTAAATCTGGTAGTTTGTCATTCAGTTTTGACACATCCAATTAAATTAGTCTTTTCTGCTTTTTTCCTTGATTCCTCTAATTTCAAATTATGGCTTTCAGGGGTGCTGTTTTGCAAGTTACTGGATGTGAGACCCTGTTCATTAAGTTGGGCTCTAGGGATCAGTTGGGATTGTTGCTACTCTACCAGCCTCCCTGCTGCACAGCAACCTCCCTGCTTGACTTCTTTGACTCTATTTCTAAGCTGCTGGTGGAGTTCCCCAGGCTTCCTTGGGTGGGGTCTGAGATGGCTCAGGAGTTCATGAACACCATGACAGCCGTGGGCCTATCCCAGGTCATCCAGGGCCCAACACAGGACAGTGCTCACATACCTGATCTGATTTCCTTGTTGGAGCAGTGGCAAGGTGCTCTGGAACTGAGGGAGCTCTCTGCGGCTCCCCTGTCATGGTCACATCATGCCCTGATAACCATGGGACTTTCTAGTGCTACCCCACCACCACCACAGGGAACCAGGACCCATTGGATCAGTCTGCCCTGGCAACTGATGGACCCTCATAGGTTTCAAAGAAAGCTGGAGGTTATTGCTAAGGGTCTGCTGCACAGTCTGACTGAGGCCTTGGTTGTCACCTGGAATAGGAGGGCAACTGAAGCCTTGGATCAGATTGTGCTTCTCCTTTCATGGATCCCATCTCTCTCCATGGATTACAGAAGAACTGAGGGAGATGAAGCAGATTAAGAGACACCTAGAGTGCTGCTGTCAGAGAACGAAGAACTAACTTGACCAAGAGCCGCTATTAAGGCCTACAGGTAATCTTCTCTTAATATTTGTTAAGCGACCTTTCTAAGTTATGATGGTGCTAAAAAAAAATATATGACTGGTGCCCAAAATTATGACCATCGCAATGCCCCTGCAGTCACACGATCGCAATCAGGGCACTTGGCAACCAGCTTGCATTTATGACAGTTGCAGCATCCCAGGGTCATGTGATCACCATTTGCAACCTTCCCAGCCAGCTTCTGGCAAGCAAAATCAATGAGGAACTATGTGATTCGCTTAACAACTGCAGTGATTCTAATGACTGCTGCAAAAAAGGTCATAAAATTGGGTTTGGTCACATGATGATTTGCTTAATGATTGGATCACTTAACCTAAATTCTGGTCTCAATTGCAGCTGTTAAGCGAGGACTACCTCTACTTTGTGGCAATAAGGGTAGTGAAGCGTCAGTACTTCCCTGCCCTTATTGCGTCCATGGATAGGTGAGTGGAGGCCCTGTTTCAGGTGACCAGAACCCTCTTGGGTAGAGGGGACTCTGGGATACATCTCCAGGGCCACACAGAGGAGTTTGCAGAGCATCTGTTGGACAAAATTGCCCGGACTTGTTTCCAGCTAGATGCAGTCTTGGTACAGGTCCTGTGGAGATACCTGGGGCAGAGTCTTGCCATGTTATCTTGAAGTTCAAACCTGTTGGGCCCAAGGAAGCGGACAGGGTCCTTATGAGTATGAGCTCAGCCATCTGTCTGTCAGATGCATGCCCTTCTTGGTTGGCGAAAGCTTCCAGGGAGGTGACGTGGTTGAGTTTCAGTGGTGGTAAATTCTTCTCTGAGAGAGGGGGTGGTGCAAACACCATTTAAAGTGGTGTTAGTCTGCCCTCTCCTCAAGAAGCCATCACTGGACCCAAGCATTCTGGACAATTTTCCTCTAGTATCTAACATTCCCTTTTTTAGGGAAGATTATTGAGAAGGTAGTTGCACAACTTCAGGGGGTCCTGGATGAAATGGATTATCTGAATCCCTTTTAGTCAGGTTTCCTGGGTATGGGACTGAGACTGATGACCTCTGGTGAGAGTGGGATAGGGGTAATGCATCCATCCTTGCTCTTCTTGACTTCTCAGTGGCCTTCAATACCATCAACCATGGTATCCTTCTGGAGTGGTTGGGAGTGGGTGGCACTGTATTGAGCTGGTTCTCTTCCTTCCTTATGTCGGTGAGGTGGCGGCTGCGCGAGGAGCCGAGGGCCGGCGAGCTGCAGCAGCGACGGCAATGGGGCCCGGGCAACCAACCGCACAGGAGGTGAGGGCGGCGCCGAGGGAGACCGGCAGAGGAGCCAGGGCGGCAAACGCACGAGAGAGTGTGGCAGCAGAGACAGTGTGATTCGACAGCACCACCGGGCAGGCCAGGTCGAGCCGCAGAGGCGGCGCGGGAGCTGAGGACCCCACGGAGCTGGGCGAGGTGGCGACTGCGCGACGGAGAGCCGAGGGCCGGCAGGCCGCAGCAGCGACAGCAGCGGGGCCCGGGTGACCAACCGCACATGAGGCGAATACGAGGACGGCGCCGAGGGCGACCAACAAACGAGGGGGGTCAGAGACTGCCGAGGTGGCAGTGGCATCAACGACGAAGGGCCCCGCAGCAACGCAGGGGTCGGCTACAGCAGAGACGGTGGCAGCGGGACCCGAGGGCCCCGTGGCAAAGCAGGCGGCGATCACACTGGCTTCAAGGGCGGGGGCGGGAGCGGCGCCGGGAGCCGACTGGTCCGCACCAAGCGTGAGTGAAGCAACCGGCGGTAGACCGGGACCTGGCCGCGGCCAGGGGAACCTGGAGGGTTGTAGGACCCTGAGGGAGCCACCAAGGAGGACGCCCCAGCTGGAGGGGAAAGGCGCAGCCCGACCCCCAAGGGAGAA